AGTAGCGGGAGCTTATAAAATTTTAAAAGGATAACACTATTTTAGTAGAAATATAAAAAAATGTAAAATATATAAGAATTTGAAATTTTAAAGGGACGATCGCCCCACATATCCTCTAAATCCATCCATGCTACTAGCCATTCAATTCCTATCCAGCCCTTATAAGCAATCAAATTAAGTTAAAAGGGGAAACCAACTTGGAATATACATGTCAAGGAGCATGCAGGCTCCACGAAGTGGAGATCCTTGATTTTTGCCTTATTTCCTACGTTATATCAGTAAGTTTGCTGATAAATTGATATGCTGTTATGTGATATGAGAAAATTATTGACGATTTATAAATGGTGTTATAAATGCATTCTTAAACAATCTGACCATGCAATGCATGATTAAAACAAGTAACAATAGCAATTAAAACAAAGTACATGGTTATCGACATGAACATGAATGAATGCAGAAGAATGTTAATCTTCCAAGTTCCCATGGCATCATAGGTGGCAGCAAGGTTTCTATGAAGTCTCTAAGCGATGAGCTCCACATTCTTGTTCCAATATCTTTCTTGCATTTTCAAATAACTTTATTGCCTCGTCTACTCTGTACAGTTGCACATTTGCTCGTCCCATCTGGTTGAATACAATTCCAAAGAAAGCAGATTTGTTTCCCCGCTAGCATGAAGGTTTTCCACAGCACTATTGAAAAAGCTTCGACCTTCCCCATACCTCCCAACCAGGTAAAACATCACACTCATCAGTGCTTCAATTCCGGCAATGGTGCTTCTGTTGCCATCAGTGTCCTCCAGTAACATCATTGTGTTCTCAAGGAACTTCAGAGCCTCTTCAGGCCCATTCAAACCTTCATATATGCCCAATACTTCAGTTAATACGCTAACAATCTCCCCTGATGTAGTCCCAGACACAGGTTTTGAATGTATCCTCAAGGAATTCTCAGAATAGAATTTGGGTTCCCCTACCATGCCTATCTTGTAATAGAGATCATTCAGACGAATAAAGACTTGCTACAAAAGGATGATTTTTGCCTTTTGTGGATTTAAATACTGCAAGTGCCTTCTGATATGCAAAAATTGCCTCATCAATCCACAAAGGGACAAATAAATGCTGCTAATGCTAATATCAATAGCAGCCAACTCATTTTCTTGACCGTTAGCAATCGTTGACATGCTAGTGAGGACAAGGTGCTCAAGGACAGATTCATTATCTGCCTTTGCCTCACACACAAGAGCCATAAGCCAGTGGTCGGCTGCGTCTTCAAGGGATGTCGGTGCACTGTGCTCATTGTGGATTTCAAGGGCCTGCTTGCTTAGATTTTGTGCTTCGTCAAATTGCATTGCTTGAACATGAGCCTCAGCTAAATACCTGACATTTTCAGTAAGTTCAGAATGCACTTATGCTGATTAATGTAACAGGATCAGAAAACAAATTGCAACATCTTTTTTTTTTTTTTTTGCCCTGGTTGCTTAATTGCTCTGTCTATGGCTTTATCTGTTTCACCAGCGGATTAGCATTAAGCCATTAACCAAAAAGCAGTGTGCAAAATACAACATTGTAAGATAACTCTCTGCATCCAGTTTGTTAACAACAAAGGCAGACAAGTAACCACTTATTTTTGGAGTATCTTTAGCAATACTGTGTGCTAAGGCTCTAACCATCAAGTGGAACCTATCTTCTGGTTCATATTTAGCCATGTCCCGTCTGCAAACATGTCTTTAAAACTTCAGTTAACTATTATAGTCATTAACACCATTTTTATTGTAACATCCTCAATACAGGGTTAGTGACCAAATTGTTAAATTTCAGAATTTAGTGACTAAAGTAGAGTAATTAAAGAGTTAAAGGACTTATATGAAAATGTTGTGTAAGATTAAACTACAAAGAAGGAAGAATTGAAGGACAAAATGGTCATTTGTAAGAAAATAATTAAATATGGTTATATATATCAACCACGTGGGGGAAAGAGGGGAAACTAAGTGAGTTTCCAGAGTTCTCTTGTTCTCCTTTCTTCTTCACGTGTGGAAGCCAAGAGCCAAAGGTGAGTTTCTGGTTAATTGATTTCTTGTTAAATTTAAGGTTGAGTTTTGATTATTAGGTGATAATTAAGCTTAAGGAGAGCTTAAATTGTCTTGAAACAATAAGATGAAGAGAATAGAGAGAATTAAAAAAAATAGAGGAATAAGTGAAATCTTGAAAGAGGGTTCTTTAATGAGGTTTAAGAGTGAATTTGACTTGTCATCAATCTAATTAACATGTATGAAGTGTTAGAATTGGATTTGTAACATGTTAAAATTTGAGTATGATTCTTGAATTTCATAAGGAAGAGAGGATATGGAGGTTAAAGAAGTGATTATTGAATAGAAATGAGTGCAATTTAATTGTATTTATGTTATTAATCAATCATTGGCTTGCGATGAGCCAGTGACGGAGTTACTATGGTAAAAAGTAACTCCTAAAATGTTATATGATTGATGTGATTCTTATGAGTGTATATGTTAAATGATATGTGTGAGTACATGTTAATGTGATTGTGAATAGGTATAAAGGAAACAAGTAATGATATAAGAATATATTATAAGATATATGATATAAAAATGTGATAGTAAGCCATGTGAAAGAACCATGAGATACATAAGCTTATATGAATATGTGATGTGAATGTATATGTGAATATATGAGATTAAGTGAATGAACATAGATGACATATATATGATGATATAAGAATAAGATATGAATCAAATGATATGAGTTATATGGGAAAAATATATGTGAACGAGATATGATATATATGTTTATGTGAAACCATGCAAAGTGATACGAGCTATGTAGCATATGAATATGAAATCATATGAAAAGTGACATGAATTACATGAAAGTAAACTACGTGATTATATGCACATGTAGTGATGGCAAACGGGCGGGTTGGATGCGGATACCCCCTCTCCATCCCCATACCCACCTAATATTTTTCAATCCACCACCCGCCCACCACCCATGATGGGTACAAATTTTCAAATCCACACCCGCCCACGCGGGTACATTTTCAAATCCATCCCCACACCCACAACCCACTGGTGACGTACCCGTCTAGACCCGCCTGAAAGCAAACTTAAGTTATATATAAGCAACAAACATAAAAAAAACATGTCCATTAAGAAACATAATAAAATAATCTAAGGATTATTTTAGTTAAGTGTTAATATAGATCTTAAAGTACATAAAACACCATAATAAAAGACATAATTAAAGTTTAGAAACATAAATGACAAACACATAATATTTTTGTTCTTTGACACAACATTCTAAAATTTCAAGCAATGCTTATGACATCTGATACTCGAGTATTACAATCATCATTCTCTATTTCCTCTAATTGAGAGAGCTCCAATTTAAATTCACTACTCCCTACATATATAATAGAAAGTGGGCGGGCGGGTGGATATTTAACTGGGCGGGCTGATGTGGGGCGGATGCGGGACGGGTAATGTCTTAAACCCATTACCCGCCCACTACCCGCGACGGGTATCACTTTCTAAATCCACACCCGCCCACTACCCGCTAAAATTATACCCATCCCCGCCCCAATTGAAGCGGGTGCGGTGCGAAATCCGCGAAACTGTACCCGTTTGCCATCCCTATGCACATGTGATATATGCTATGAGACATGACCAATGTGAGATAGATGTTTACACATACATGTGGTATGTGACAGAAGAAAAAGAAATATGTGATCATAAGAGCAAGGATATGAATTATTATAAAATAAATGCACATAGTATATGATACAAGAACTATATGTATAGTTGGCATGCCAAGAGTCGAGGGTTACCTATGTCTTTCGAGACATACGGACAGTTTACCTATGTCCTTCAGGACATATGGACAGTGTTACATATGTTCTTCGGAACATATGGATAGGTCATTCGGGGCACAGATTTTATTTGCCACTTAGTGGATTTTATACGAGCTGTGGTGACAGCATATGTGTGCACAACCTCATAGTACTCGTATATCTTAAGTTCTCAATAGAGTGCATGGGCTTATAAAGATATAAAGAGTGTGTACATGTTTGCATGCTAATGTGTTAATGTTGTTTATACTGGTTCCTATATGACAGTGTGAATACATAATGTAATATGCATAATTGTTATTAGTTACTAGATTGCATGTTCATACTTATAGAAATTCTTTATGTAAATTATGCCTCACTAAGTCGATGACTTAGCGTGTAAGTATTCTACACGTAGGTACTAATAAGCTCAAGGATCAGATTTGAGACCGGTAGAACAGCATACCTTCACAGGAGATCAGATCAGAAGTAAATCGTATAATAGGTATTTTGTTGTATTAAATGTGTTAGCATGTAAGCAAATGTAGATTTTTGTATGCTCTGATCAACTTTATAACGTTTTGAACTCAATGATGTAAATATGACTTTTGTGTTAATAAAAGTTTTTAAATTTCATATAGTTTTTATGAATATACATGTTTGAAAGGTTAATGTGACACCTCGGACTCGTATCCGAGTCTAGTACAGGTTGGAGTTTTACATTTATTTCTCTGTTGCAGCAATGGTCTTTTATTCTTCAAACCTATAAGTTTTATTCCTAGATCTATAGTGAAGACCAAAAGAAAACATCTACTTAACTAATAACAAGAATTTCATCAAAGTGTAATGACAACAACTAACTGATCACAACACTTTTTATCAACCTTTCAAACAATTAAGAAACCATAACCCGTCTGCTAGCTGCAATGTGTGCTGTGAATTAAGAAAGTTTCAAACCCACCAAAGAAACAAGCATGCACCCACCTCGTGAACTAACTGGTAAAATTAATTAAAAAATGGAAGGTTAGTTAACTTACCTGCAAATATCGACAACTCTAGGATCCAGATCCCCGTAAGCTTCAATCTGGATCCTCCAGCCAGAGTCATAGCACTATTGGACTGGTCTAATTGACCTATAATGGAGTACTAGTCTTCTTCTCCCCTAAATGCATACACCCAAAAAGCTTCGCCGGTGCATGATCTAACTCATTTCCAAGAACTGGCACCTCGATGGACCGCTCCAAGATCAGAACCGCTTCCTCAAACTTAAACTATCAATTTTAGTCCATTTTAGTACCTAAATTTTTATTTTTTTAAAAAAAATTAACGTTAAATTTTGAACATAGATACTAAAGTGAAATAAAAAACTAAACTTTAAGTATAGTTTTGAAAAGAAAGTTTAAATACTAAAACGAACCAAAACAGATCGTTTAGTACTAAACACATAATTTATACTATATTTTAATATATTCTTATTCATCGAAAAAGAAGAAGAAATGATTGGTACTAATTAAGGCATGATGCGTAAGATTGTGAACAATTCGATTAGCTCTTGATTGATATAATGGACCTTAAAGGTCTGGAAATCATCTAGAATGGCATACGCCTCCTTTAGGGGTGTAAATAAATCGAGTTTGAATGAACAAGATTATATTTGTATCATTTGTTTATTTTTAAAGGTGTTCGTATTTGTTTAATTTTTTAATATCATATTCGAATTCATTTATTTATTTTTGAAGGTATTTGTGTTCATTCATTTAACATTCGCGTACGTGTTCGTTTAATGTTTGTGAACATGTTCGTTTAAATATTCGTGAATGTATTCATTTAGTGCTCATTTAACATTCGTTTAGCGTTCATTTAACATTTGTAAACATGTTCGTTTAGCGTTCGTTTAACGTTTATGAACATGTTCGTTTAACGTTTATGAACATGTTCGTTTAGCGTTTATGAACATGTTCGTAAGCATGTTACAAAACAAATAGAAAATAACAAATTATATTGAATCACCTAATAAAACTCATATAACATCCACGATAACAAAATACAATCTTAAAACATATAAACAAATTAGCAGTATTTAAAAATATCCATAAACATTTTCATATTAAAACATCTACCAACATATCACATTTTAAAACATACTTGAAAATAAGATGAACAACCAAATCGGATATAATAGACTGCTATAACTAATGGGTCAATCCTAACAATATCAATTGAACGACAAAATTATTATATAGCATCAGAAAACTCAAGATACATCACCTCAACTAGGAGCAGGCACACGAAGAACAAGTGAAAGAACTCAACAAAAAGCGATTGTCACATAGTGAATAATGTTGTGAAACTCGGGTTAATTTCCACCAATAATAACAAATTCACCTTGAAAACTATTATCTAGGTGACTAGTGTGAAATCGATTGTACTAAAAATCACCCTAAGGTAGATTCCCATTAAAGAGTGGAGGAGTCACAATGGTCCCTCTTAAAACTCACTCTCCTTACCCATAACTACCAAGACAAATAATTTTAATAGGATAATAATTAACAACTATACCCGACAATAGCTATTAAATAGACATAAAAGAGAACACCAAAATTGGTTAGGCCAAAATTATGCCTACATCCTTGAACACTACTAAAATAATATTTCACTAATAGAGGAAATATTACAAAGAGAAAAAAATATAAATAGCCTTTAATATAGAAGAAAACTTATATTTGTGAGATGTTATGAGGATTCTATTTATAACAAAAGAATTTCCCCTCCTCCTTATACAAAACCAATGTGGTTTTTTTAGCAAATTTTGAATCCCACATTGGTTTTGTATAAGGAGGAGGGGAAATTTTTTTGTTATAAATAGAGTCCTCCTCCTCTTTAGTTGAGCATCCCACAAATATAAGCATTCTTCTATATTAAAGGCTATTTGTACTCTTTCCCTCTTTATAATATTTCCTCTATTAGTGAAATATTATTTTAGTAGTGTTCGAGGACGTAGGCATAATTTTGGTCTAACCTCATTAAATTTTGGTGTTCTCTTTTATGTCTATTTAATAGCTATTGTCGGGTATAGTAGTTAATTATTGTCCTATTAAAAGTATTTGTCTTGGTAGTTCTGTCTAAGGAGAGTGGGTTTTAAGAGGGACTATTGTGACCCCTCCACTCTTTCCTGAGAATCTACATTGGGGTGATTTTTAGTACAATCGTTTTCACACTAGTCACCTAAATAATAGTTTTTAAGGTGAATTTGTTATTATTGGTGGAAATTAACCCGAATTTCACAACAATTGACATCAGAACTCTTGGTTTATTTTAGTATGCTCTGTGGTTGCGGCTTAGGGTGATCTTCCACATCAGAAAAAAATTTCCTTGGGCTAATTGACATTCCGCATTGACAGCTATTAAATAAAATTTGTAGCAGAAATGGCAGACGACACAAAAACATCCACATCGTCGTCAACAGCTTCTTCATCTTCAATTTTGGCAATAAATGCTATAACAAATGTTAAATTTACAGTGGAGATTTTTGATGGCACCGATCATTTCGGCATGTGACAAAGTGAGGTTCTAGATGCCATATTTCAACAGAGTCTAAACATTGCTATTGAAGGAGAGAAACCAGATGATGTTGAGGAGAAAGAATGGAAGAGGATCAATAGATTGACATGTGGTACTATTCGATCGTGTCTTTCTAGAGAACCAACTGTCACGGACTTAATCGCTCAATAAGCCTCGTGCGGCCTTAGCTCCTTTTTGCCCCTCGCGATAGCTAAGTCAGCCTCACTCGAACTCGTGCTAGTGAAATGATTGGCAAGAAACAAAGAAGAAAGGAAAGAACTTAGAGAGAAAACTTGTTGAATGTTTGAATGCTTACAACTCTTGGATGATTTACAAATGAGGATTCTACACCTATTTATAGCATCCCACCTCCTCAATGGACGGTGGAGATTGATTTGATCCTACGGTAGGGAGAGATTCTCTAGAATTCTCCATTATTTCCTACCTAACATGGAAGACTCTAGAATGCTTCTAGAATACTCTACATTTGTACAAGTCTTGAGTGCTTCTAGAATAATCTACACTATTCTATCAAACTCCAAGACCAAATGTGGCCCAACATAGCCCAAAGTGTGGGAAAAAGCCCAAGTTCGTGACAAAAAGTATGCATTTTCTAAGGAAACTTTTGCAAGTAAATTGTAGAAGGCACTAGAGGATAAATTTTTGAAGAAAAGCGGTCAGAACAAGCTCTACATGAAAAAAAGATTGTTCCGCTTCAACTATGTACCAAGTACCACTATGAATGATCACATTACTAGCTTTAATCAGCTGGTGACTGATCTGATGAATATGGACATGACTTTTGAAGACAAAGATTTAGCTCTGATGTTGATGGGATCACTTCCTGATGAGTTTGAGTATCTTGAAACTACTCTACTTCATGGGAAGGTTAATGCATCTCTCAGTGAAGTAACAGCTGCCTTGTATAGTTATGAATTGAGAAAGAAAGAAAAAAAAGAAAACACAAGTGTCGAAGCAGAAGCTCTCGTTGTTAAAGGTCGTTCGAAGAGTCAGAAAAAAGGAAAGAGAGGGAGATCGAAGTCAAAGTCCAGATTAAACAAAGATGAATGTGCCTTTTGTCGAGAAAAATGACATTGGAAGAAAGAATGTCCCAGGCTAAAGAATAAAGGCAAACCTGAAAGGTTTCAAGTTATTAGATTCAGCTTGTAGCCACCATATGACCCCCAATAGAGAATGATTCTTTGATTTTAAAGAAATAAAAGGTGAAATTGTCTACACAGCAAATAATTCCCCTCTTGACACACTTAGGATTGGTTCAATTCGATTGAGGAATCAAGATGAATCAATCAGAACCTTAACATGTGTCCATTATGTACCAGATTTAATAAAAAATCTCACATCTGTGAGAACCTTAGATTCAAAAGGTTTAAAAGTGAGGGCAAAAGATGGGATTTTGATGATTATCTCTGGTGTATTGGTGATAATGAAGGGAATCCAGAAAAGAAATAATGTGTATTACTTTCTGGGTAGTACAATTGTTGGGGCAGCAGCAGTAGCAGCTTCTACTGATGAACAGTAGTCAGAAGCAACCAGGTTATGACATATGAGCTTGGGGCATGTTGGTGAAAAATCCTTGAAATTGTTGATAGATCAAGGATTATTGAAGGGTGCTCGGGCTTGCAAATTAGTTTTTTTGTGAGCATTGCATCAAAGGGAAGAAAACGAGGGTGAAATTTGGAACAACAATCCATGATACTAAAGGTATTTTGGATTATGTTCATTCAGATGTATGGGGGCTGTCCAAGACAACTTCATTGGGAGGAACACACTATTATGTCACATTTGTTGATGATTTTCCCGGAGAGTTTGGGTGTATACAATGAAGACAAAGGATGAGGTGCTAGGATTTTTCCTTAAATGGAAAAAGATGATGGAGACTCAAACAGACAGAAAAATTAAACGTCTCCGTACAGACAATGGTAGAGAGTACAAAAATGATCCATTTCTAAAAGTATGTGAATAAGAAGGCATTGTCAGACATTTCACTGTCAGATATACACTACAACAGAATGGGGTAGCAGAGCGTATAAACCGAATATTAGTGGAGAAGGTTCGGTGTATGTTGTCTAATGTTGGGTTAGGCAAAGAATTTTGGGCTGAGACTTTGGTCTATGCTTGTTACCTTGTCAACCGCTTACCATCAACTGTTATTGGTGGTAAAACACCATTAGAGAAATGGTTTGGAGAACCTGCTACAGATTATGATTCCTTACATGTATTTGGTTCCACTGCATGCTACGATGTTAAGGAGTCAAAGCTGGATCCAAGAGCAAAGAAGGCGATCTTTATGGGGATCACCTCTCGTGTGAAAAGTTATCGTCTTTGGTGTCCAGAAACAAAGAACATAATCTTCAGCAGGGATGTTACCTTTGATGAATCTACCATGTTGAAAAAGATGACTTCAGAAAAATTGGAGCAGACAGATGGAACTCCCAAACAGGTGGAGTTTGAAGGAAGCAGAATTGTCTTAGCCAGTAAAGAAACTGATGTTGACTCGCCTATGGTAGAAGAAGAGTCAGATGAAGAAGAGATTCAGACCCAAGAACCTCCACAACAACATGAATCAATTGCACTCAGAAAGGGAAAGAGGACCATTAGACAACCTGCTCGTTATGCTGATATGGTCTCTTTTGCATCACCAATTGCAATTGATGACGTTCCTGCCACTTTTAATGAAGCAGTCCAAAGTTCAGAACATAAAAAGTGGAGGATCAC